AAAAAACGTCATTATAATTCCACCAAATTTTTTGTTTTGTACGTGAAAAACAGTTTTTTTAGTTTTTCTTTGTAAATAATAAACCTACGTGCCCGAAATTTTTGGACATAGTTTGTTTCAGTAAAACTAACTTATATATTAAATAAGAAAAAATTTCACTCAGTCATTTCTCAGAAAATTGAAGTGGTTCACTGTTGACGCTGGTTCAATGTAGCCTACTCTCCCCTAATTGTAAGAATTTAACTATTCTAAGTACCTGGACTCCATCCGGCGAGCAAATCCTTTGGCAAATTTTAAGATCATTACAAATTTTAGATATAATTTAATTTTCCACAATTTTTTGACATTAGTAATTTTTTTAAATTTTTATTTCTTACAAATTAAGGGTATGTGGAATCAGCCAACTTCAATTAATACATGTATTAATATTCCCACCGGTTTTCTAAAAAAATATTAAATAAATCTTGACAAAATATAAGAAAAATAATATTTTATTTATTGAGGCATGGATCTCTAGTCCAATTAATACAAAAATTTGCTTTTAAATATTATTTTTCATTTAATAAAAAGTTTGATATTTTTTGAGAAAAAAAGACAATCAAATACAAATTAATATTGAAAAAGATGAATAAATTTATATTTTTCTATGTTAACATTCATTTTTTTTAATGGCAATTTGTATTCGATTGTCTTCTTTTCTCGAAAATTGTCAAAAAACATGAAAGTTTGAATAGAAAAATATAAATTTATTCATTTTTTTTAATATTAATTTGTATTTGATTGTCTTTTTTTCTCAGAAAATATCAAACTTTTTATTAAATGAAAAATAATATTTAAAAGCAAATTTTTGTATTAATTGGACTAGAGATCCATGCCTCAATAAATAAAATATTATTCTTCTTATATTTTGTCAAGATTTATTAAATATTTTTTTAGAAAACCGGTGGGAATATTAATACATGTATTAATTGAAGTTGGCTGATTCCACATACCCTTAATAAATCCCACGTGAAAAAGTTCCCGGGAATTGGACCGAGAAATTCCCGGGAGTGAAAAAAACAAATGAATAAAAAAAATTTCTTTTGTTTTTTTCACTCCCGGGAACTTTTTTACCTGGGATTGTACCTTAAGGGCATCCGGGAAAAAAATGGTTTCGTGATAGACATCTCATTTAAAAAGAAAAGAATATTTTGAGTCGGGATTTTTTGGTAAATATAGAGAAATGCTCTGGGACCAGCGGTCCTCTCGGAATTTAGAGAAATTTTGATAAATAATTATTGAAAAAAATTGTTTAAATATACGGAAAAAAGAGGTTTTGAACGGTTCAGTATTATAGACGTCTCATTTTGAGAGGATAAAATATTTCTGGTTCATATTTGGAGGGATGATAGAGGAAGACTCTCCGAGGAGCGGCCCTCTCCGTTTTTGCAATAATTTTGCGAGAAAATTATTTTATTAACGATTAAAAGTGGAGTAATTTGAGATTAATACATTTCCTTAGTTCAAGTCGCGAACACTTCCGAGAATTGGCGCCACCTCCTTGACAACTGACACATAGATCCACTTGTCTGTGTGCTCACCGCCATATTGTCTCTCACTTTGGCCAAAAATCCAACTTTTGTAATTTCGTTTTTCAATATTTATTTCAAAAATTACTTGCAATTTTCGAGCATATTCTTTATTATCATGAATTCCCCTAATTATCATGATAAATCCGAACTAAATATCTCTAATTATTTAGGAGTGAGACGACACGCAGGAAAACACTTTTTGGGCTCGATTTTTCCCGGATAAATTCTTAATTAGTACAATAAATAATTTTAAATTTCAATTATTATTAAAAAATTCATTAAACTCTCGTTTTCAATATTATTCATAAGAGATTTGTTTTAAAATTTGGCGCGCATCATTATGATTGGTTCGATTTTCTTTATCGTCAACTATCTGTATTTTTTCTGCGACGTTGCTATGTTTCTACTAAGACTTTTGAGAAACTTGTGTATCTTTTTGTATTTTTATTATTTTCTGTTAAACTAAAGTCGGGGACAAAAAAATAAAAAAAATAAATAAATAAAAAAATTTATGAAATAATATTTTTATCCAGAACAATTTTTTAAACAAAACGAAACTTTATACATAGTTTATGCAAAATTAATTTTGCATACTACATTTTTAAAAAGTTGCACTACATTTTTATAGTTTTATGCAAATTTGATGTAAAAAATTTTATTTTGCAAAATCAGTTTTGTAAAAAAAATTTTTTAAATCCAATTTGCAGTTTTTTTTGCAATATCCCAAGTAGAACGTAATATTACTGTAATATAACATGTAATATTAGTAATATTCCAATGTATTGGTAATATTATTAATAGCATTACAGTAATAATACATGGTAATATTACTGTGACATTACAGGTAATGTTACAGAAATTTTGCAGTAAAGTTACACGATAAAAATAAAAAGTTTCGAAAACTCTTCTTATACAGTATTTTGCGTACTTTTTCTAAAGTTTATAAAGATTTAACAGTTTTGAGTTTCTTATTAAAATCGCATTAGTGAAAGATGTCTATTACCTGGATATATATATATATACCTTTAATTTTATGATTAGTATACATATTAGACTGCCAATGGCGCCTGTGAAGCCTTCATATTACCTTATTTCTAATTATTTTTCAATTTTCTTTTGCTTGCTTTAATATTTTCTTTCAGTTTACTCGAAACTACCAAAACTAAAAGACGAGTTTTTGGCTTTAAGAATTGGATTTTAGTTAATTTTAGAAAATGGTGAAAACAATTTCTGTGAACGATTGTGAATTTAATGTAATTGAATTAGGTGGTGCTGGTGATTGTTTATTTAAATGTCTTGCTAGGATACGTGATACGCGCAGTCATTATAGACTTCACCAAAAAATTGTTTCACATGTCGCTTTAAATTGGTCGACTTATAGCACTGACGTAGCACAACATTTAAATTGCCATTCTCGTGAAAAATATAGAAATTTAATGGGTCAAAGTGGTGTCTATGGATCTCTTATTGAATGTCGAGCAGCGTCGGAACTTTTCAATATCAATATTTTTGTTGTTCGTTTATTACAAAACGGGGAACATTTTGTAATTGAATTTTTTATTGACGACGAATTTTCTAATGTTTATTTGCTACCCACATAACACATAATATTGCAGCAATATTGCCGCCACATTTTTTTTCAACATTTGAAATATTCGCATGTAACATTGCAATAATATTACAGGAATATTGTTATGTCCGACTCATTAAATATTCCAAAATAACGTTCCAGCAATATTTCAATAAAACTTTACATAACAAATTACTTGAATGTCTTAGGAATATTACAGTAAAATATTGCTGAAATGTTTATTTAAAATGTTATTAAAATAATGTTTATTTTAAATTATTATAAAATTTTTACTAAAAATGTTTTTCAAAGGTTTCAAATGATCATGTATTTTTAATATAAAAACTATTTCATTTTGATTTTGTTATTTCCACTAATTATCTTGAAGTGTCAAAGGAATTATTTCATTTACTTGAATTATATTAAAATTTTTGCATAAAGAAGAAATTTATGTATTTTTAATTATATTTTATATAAATTTGAAAACTATTTATTATTTTGTTGCAAAATATCATACTAAACAATATTTAGAATAAAAACATATTTCTTTATTAAGCAAGCCTCAAGTAATTAAATACAATAATTATAATAATCGTAGTAGATAGAAAAAAATTAGAAACGTGTTAGTATTGCAATTATTAATTTTCTTCATCGTCAGCATCAGAGTCTCTTAATGATTCTTTCTCTTCTCCATTATCGTCTTCTTCATCTCCTTCTTTTGCTCTACAGAATAAAATATTAGTAAATAATTATAATTTTAGTAAAATTATTATAAAATGAATCGGTGAAAAGTAAATTATTCACTCGCTAAACAAAATTATTACTAAAAATTTATGCACTGTAACTAATATTTTTAAAAGATGATTGTTTTTACCAATGATAATTGATTTTTAGTGAAAGTTGATAAAAAATAATTTATTAATAATATATATTTTTCTTTTAAGTGAGATGTCAGTTTGAGAATTTAAAAAATATATTTTATTTTGAGTGTAGAATAAATATTTGTCAAACTTAAATCCATAAAGATTATAAACAATGACAGCAAACATGACTTTTCTTACAACTCTCTCTTCAATCTTGTTTTGGCTTGAGCGAACCATTTAGAAACGATAATTTGAATTGCATAATCATCTTCCTTTGGGCAGGATACTTTCACGCTTTCTGAAAAAAATTAAATCCCTAAAATGTTAATTAAATGCTTCTTTGATTCTGTATATTTAAATATTAAAATTTCCTTGATTTTTGGAAAAAACTTATTTGATTTGAAGAAGCTTTCTTTAAATAAAAAAAACTTTTATGTTTTGATTTTTAAATTAACTGCGTATTTCGATAGCTTGTAATTATAAAATGATTTAAATTTTGAAAATAATTATGTATCTATTATGCCATACCAATAATTAAATTTGCAAAGTTGGTATTAATCAAAGGCAGTTTGGACTTTCTTCCTGACCAACTGTATAGGAGAGCGAGTTTATTTGTAAACAGCTTGCTGCACACGTTCGCCACAACATTATTAACATCTCTTCCTCCAATGGATCCTAATGCGTTTATCTGGAATAAATTATATTGTGTAAAATATTTTCTAAAACTAAGAGTATTCAAAAAAATTCTTAAAACTAACAGCTATAATCATTTTAATGTGTTTACAATTGGTTTAATTTAATACAAAACCAAAATGAGACAAGGTTTATCAGTATTTTTTAAATTAACTTTAAAAGCATTTAAAAATATTTAATAAAAAAATAATAAATTAAATAAGTTAATAAATTGAAAAAATAGAAAAAAACAATGTTAATCATTTACATACATTTTAGCATAAATACAAATACAATACTGACCATTTTAGTTTTAAAATTCTTATCATTTAGTTTGTCATTTGTTGCTATTAGGTCCTTTTTGGAATTAATTGGCAACTTCGGGCATTTTGTGGAATCAAAGAAAGATCTATTATTTGAAGTTCCGCAACTACTTTGAGACTGAATTTTCATGTTTCTAAAAAGTAAGATTATTTCATTTAATTTTGATAATATTAATTCGTCACTTGAAAGACCTGTATAAAAATAAAAAAATTTATTAACTCAAAAAATTTATAGAATCTACTTTTATATTACATTACCTGTTTTTGAATCTTGGTATTCAAGACTGGCCAAAGCATTCTCTAAGTTTGATGAAAATTTACTTTTGGATGCATTTGGATTGTTATCATTATCAGGTAAAGCCGATGCTGTGTTGAAATTATTTAAGCTTCGCATTTTTTCAGTTGATGTGCTTGGATCAAAAACATCTTTGGTTTTAAATCCTATAAATTAATAATAATTTTTTTAAATTCTAAACTATTAAAACTTTTAATGTAAAATATATTTTGAAAGATAAACTCAAGCAAGATCAGTAATAAAAAATGGTCTAAATTGTCTATTAGATTTCGTCTTAGTCAGATTTTAAGTATCATGTCAAAATCAATCCATTTTAAGACTATAATATATAATCATGTAAAATAGTTAAGACTTAAATTAAAAACTTCATTGTGATTGAAAATAATATCTTCAAATTTGAAAAAAAAATTTTAACAGCGAATCTTGTATTATTGAAATCTGTCTTAACAAAATCTAACCCTTATGCTTCGAATTTTCCAATAATCCTGGTTTTGCGAATTCGTCTGTATCTGTTGATGATTCATCAGAATTTGAATCTTTAATGGTAGAAGCATCAGTAGGGATTTTTTTCGGAAGAAGGTTGCTTGTGAATGTTTTGCTTCTAAAATCTGGTACAAATATCAGTAACAATAAATTAATTAAAAATAATTTAATTTATACATTGATTAAAAATAAATTATTATTAGTGAATATTTCAATACATTTAATTAGAATAATAATTTAATTTATCAATAAAGTTAACACAATGAATTTAATAAATATTTCATCAATATTTAATTTTTTGTTTGATAAAAACACTAACCGCTTTGTATTGAGTTTTTCGGTGATCTCAGTGTTGAATCTTCAGAAATTGGATTCTCAATGGCTGATTTGGCAATTCGAATTTCGTTTAGGAGAAGGTCATTTGTGGATCCCGGAGATCTTGTGTCACTAAAATCTGGCAAAAATAACAGCAAAACAAAGTTGATTAATTAAAAATAATTTATTTATTTTATACATTTTTTAAAATAAATTAATATTACTCAATATTTCTATAAAGTTAATTAATGTATTACTTAAATTATTCAATAAAAATACTTATCTTAAAAATAAAAGTTTATATTTTTTATTTGATAAAAGAATAACCTTTTTGTTTCGAATTTTTTGGTAAACTCGGTGTTGCAAATTCAGTCTCAGTTGGCCCAGCACGAATTCGTTTCATAGGTGGAAGTGGAATACGAGGCTTTTGAATTTGTTCATCATTTATTTGAGGTTTTTGCCGCTTCTTTTCTGATGTCGACACGATATTTTTTAATTTATTAACCTCTTTAATAGAAGCATTTTGTAAAGAAGGGGATGAAATCACTTTAGCACGGTTGTTTCTAGATCTTTTATAATTTTCGGAGTAGTTGTCAATCACGTCGCTGTCAATTTCAGACATTATTAATGCTTCGTGCAATTTCTCTCTGCCTTTTTCGTATGTGTCTACAAATAAAAAATATAAATGAATATAAAAATAAATTTGAAAAACCACTCTCTGATTTTATGAAAGAAAAATAAATTATATTATTACATAACTCAAAACAATTATGTAGAAAAAATTGAAATATTAATAGAAAAATTTATTAACTGCTTGCATAAATGGATGGATTTAGATAAAAAAGACGCGTGTGTGACATGTTTGTGTCATTTAATATTATTATAAACAGATTCTCTTATAAGAGGCATTATTACTGAACTGCCCCAAAAATAAAAAAAAGTTCTTGGATTTCCTTTATACTTTGGAAATATGTTACCCTAGTAGGTACAAGTTACTACACCAATTTACAGGTCCAACCCCCCACCCCAATCAAAAGGGTGGGGGGTTGAAATTTCAGCTTCAACTCGAACATGCATTCTTTAAACATTTGTAGTTTCTAGTTAAATTATTCAATTAAAAAAAGTAAGTAGTGTTTTAGAAAGGTTTTTTTGTGTACTTTTAAAATATTTTATTTATATAATAAAAAAAAAATTTTTTTTGCAAAAATTTTTTAAAATAAATAGTTATTTGCAATTTTGTGCAAGTTCGGTAGTTTTTATTTTCTTTTTAATAATCTCAAATGAAAGCTTGGGAATTCCCCTAAAAGAAGATATAAGTCTGAAAATGGGCCGAAACAATTTGCCAAAGATATAGTGTAATAAGTAAAATTTGTCCGTCCGCTCGCGCACTCCAGCGCGATGAACAGTGGGATTTTTTTTCAACTTACTATTGAAAATTGTCTAGAAACTACAAATTTTATCGGATGTTGATGTTCTTGATTTAAAATTACTAAGAGATCCATCAAAGTCGATTTTTGAATTTTTAATTGTTTATTTTTTTCTTGTTACTCAAAAATTTGACAAATTACAATATTTTTAGAAAAAATCATGTTAGTTTTTTTATTTTTCCATTACACATCATCGAAATCAATTTAAATTAGTCTAGTATGACCACCGGACAATTAATAAAGCATAATACAATTTATTTAAATTGTTGCAAACAATGTTAATTAACAAATAGATTACTTCGGACCTTCTTCATAGAAAAAATTGGTTTTTTTGCAGACAAGTTTAAATTTATGTCTAATTTAGTAAAAAACTATTTTACAGTTAAAAATTATCATTAATATTAACAATTATATAAACAATAATCAACTTCCTTTTGTATTTGTAAACATTTTCGTCATTTTTCAAACTTTAAATATTTATATCATATGTACATTCTTTCAAAAACTTAAAAAAATTTATTTGCTTAAACAATTACATTTGTTATAAACAAATTTTTCATTTTTAAACAAATAATTAGCTTTTTTTATCAAACAAAATTTTTCCCTTTTTTATATTTACTATCATAAAAAAGAACTCCTTAATGAAATGGGAATACTATAAATTATTCATTTAATTTTAATAAACATTATAAGTTAACAAATATTTAACTTCGTTCTTTTTTCACAGAAAAAATATATTTATTTATATGCATTTAAATGTAAACTGTTTTAACTGAATAATGGTTTACTTCATTAAAAATATAAATATTTCTTAACTTATAATGTTCGTTAGAATTAAATGAACAATTTATAGTATTCCCATTTCATTAAGGAGTTCTTTTTTATGATAGTAAATATAAAAAAAGGAAAAAATTTTGTTTGATGCAAAAAGGTACTTATTTGTTTAAAAATGAAAAGTTTGTTTATAACAAATGTAATTGTTTAAGCTAATAAAGTTTTTATGTTTTTGAAAGAATGTACATATGATATAAATATTTAAAGTTTGAGAAATGACGAAAATGTTTACAAATACAAAAGGAAGTTGATTATTGTTTATATAATTGTTAATATTAATGATAATTTCTAACTGTAAAATAGTTTTTTACTAAATTAGACATAAATTTAAACTTGTCTGCAAAAAAACCAATTTTTTCTATGAAGAAGGTCCGAAGTAATCTATTTGTTAATTAACATTGTTTGCAACAATTTAAATAAATTGTATTATGCTTTATTAATTGTCCGGTGGTCATACTAGACTAATTTAAATTGATTTCGATCATGTGAAATGGAAAAATAAAAAAACTAACATGATTTTTTCTAAAAATATTGTAATTTGTCAAATTTTTGAATAACAAGAAAAAAATAAACAATTAAAAATTCAAAAATCGACTTTGATGGATCTTTTAGTAATTTTAAATCAAGAACATCAACATCCGATAAAATTTGTAGTTTCTAGACAATTTTCAATAGTAAGTTGAAAAAAAATCCCACTGTTCATCGCGCTGGAGTGCGCGAGCGGACGGACAAATTTTACTTATTACACTATATCTTTGGCAAATTGTTTCGGCCCATTTTCAGACTTATATCTTCTTTTAGGGGAATTCCCAAGCTTTCATTTGAGATTATTAAAAAGAAAATAAAAACTACCGAACTTGCACAAAATTGCAAATAACTATTTATTTTAAAAAATTTTTGCAAAAAAAATTTTTTTTTTATCATATAAATAAAATATTTTAAAAGTACACAAAAAAACCTTTCTAAAACACTACTTACTTTTTTTAATTGAATAATTTAAGTAGAAACTACAAATGTTTAAAGAATGCATGTTCGAGTTGAAGCTGAAATTTCAACCCCCCACCCTTTTGATTGGGGTGGGGGGTTGGACCTGTAAATTGGTGTAGTAACTTGTACCTACTAGGGTAACATATTTCCAAAGTATAAAGGAAATCCAAGAACTTTTTTTTATTTTTGGGGCAGTTCAGGAATAATGCCTCATAAATGAATATTTACCAGTTCTTTTTAAATATTGGAGAACATCGTACTGTTTCCAATTTAATTCTGGCTCAACTGATTTTGATATCATCTCATTTATTTTGGAAGCTCTTTCAGAAGGCGGGTAGTAACATTTCCGTTCGTCATTCTCGAGACTGATTATCTATTTCGTCGGAACTAATACAACTCCGTCTTCCAATTCTACTACAGAAAACGGCATGCTCCTTTTTGTATTTTTAATTATGAAGTATAATTTAATTAAAACGCGTACCGAAAAATATTAATCTACGTCAAATCTGTAGTTTGTTTTAATAAAGTGAAGTATGCCAAACTAAAATAATTGAATGTTGTTTAATTGTAATTGGAAACTGAAAAACCGATGACAGCGCTTTAATGTCAATTTGTTATATTAATTTAAATTCTGATAACGACGTTTTAAAAATATAAAGAAGAATTTATTTGAAAAAAAAAATCAAAATGAATATTTGCATTATTAAAAATTTGTCATTTATTATTACGAATATTTTTTACAGAGGTAAATATAGTAATTTTCATACTGAAAAATATTTTTTATTGGAACAGATAATTTTGAATTTTCTATTTATTTAAATTTCGAATAAATTTTCAAACAGCTTCATTTGTGTTGAAATAACTTTTATAATAATAATTTATTTTATTTATTTATATAATATTATTGTTTAAAATAATTAAAAATAAAAACACAGAATGAAAAAATTTAAAATTAATTAATTTAAAAAAAAAGAGGTTGGATGCTATAAGGGAATGCGCATAGTTTTCGTTATCCCCTCGCGCAACCACTGTCTTGCTGTACGTGGAGACTTCCACTATCACTATCACTATCAATTGCATTATTTTTAATTTTTACATGTGAAAAATAAGATGAAATATTTTACAAAATTTGATTGAGTATATTAAAAAGTTACTAATATTTGTAATTTTTGCTAGTTTAAGAAAGCTTTTTAGTGTTTCTTTTTAAATAGAAGTTAACTTAATAGATTATCGATTTTCTCACAATTGTTTTCTCAAAAATGTATTTTTTATAATTATATACGTTTCTTTCAGGTTATGAATTTGTTTTTGTAGCTTAGTCTATCATGCCAAAAGTAAGCTCTCACAATAGTTATTCTAACAGACATATTCGTCGATTACGAGACAACCTAACGAAATTGGATATAAAACGCTTAAACTCTCAGAAATGTAACGCAGATTCAATCGAAAAAAATACCGAAGACTTAAACACAAATAAAAATGTTGCCTTTAGCGACGAAAATGACTATGATTATATTCCTACAAATGAGAATGAAAATGAATATATTCACTGTAATGAATATATTCAATTAGATGAAGAAAGTGAAATTAATAATACAGTTATTACTCAAAGGAAAGAAGAAGAAGAAAGAGTAGGAGTAGAAGAGAAATTACCAATAGAAGAAATAGTAGGGGTAGATGAAGAAGAAGGAAATGAAGAGGAAAATGAGTTGGAAAAGTTGTTGGATTTTGATTTCGAATTTGAAAATGAACATAATATTTCAGACGGTGATAGCGATTGTGGAAATGAATTTTTTGAATCCAGTTGCTCTGAAGATGAAGAAGAAGAGGAGAAAGATGAAAAGCATAATAAAAATAACAAATTTAAATCTGCTTTATGTCAATGGGCATTATTATATAATATCCCATTAATTGCACTAACTGCACTTCTCTTGCTTTTATTAACATTTACAGATTATGTACTTCCACGCACAGCTCGAACCCTACTAAAGACACCCATAAATACGAAAACAACAATTTTGTCTGACGATGGAGAATATTTACACCTTGGTTTATTGCGGGCGCTGCAAGCTATTTTAAAAACTCAAAAATCCAAGGGAATTAACAAGAATAATTTAAATTTGTATATTAACATCGATGGTTTGCCAATATACAAAAGCTCAAAGAAGTCTTTATGGTTAATTTTTTGTTCTGAAGTAAATTCAAAAAGTGTGTACTTAATTGGCGCTTACTTTGGTGAACATCATCCTGCTAATTCGAATGAGTTTTTGTCAGAATTTGTTAAAGAAGCAAAAATATTCTGTGAGTCCGGCATCATCTTCGAAGGGCGAAGAATTACTGTAAATATTTATGGACTGATTTGTAATGCTCCTGCCAAAAGCTTGGTGTTAAAAGTAAAAGGTCACACTGGATACCATTGTTGTCCCAAATGCAAGATTAAAGGAGATGGTATTCTACCTGAACAGATTGGAAAAAACAAGAAAAAAAAGAGACGAGTATGCTTTCCTGGTTTAGGGCCATTTTCTAAAAGGACAGACCTAGAATTTGCCAGTAATGTATACCTAGGTACTTATCAACAGGGAGAAGCAACGGTTTTAACTCAGATTCCTAGATTTGGAGCTGTCTCTAATGTCCCAATTGATTATATGCACTTGGTCCTATTAGGAATAATGAAAAAATTAATTCTCTTATGGTTAACGGGTCCAACTAAAGTCAGACTTTCTTCATCAGATATTGATAAAATTTCAATTAATTTAATAGAATTAAAGAAAAGTCAACCAAGCGAGTTTGCAAGAAGGCCCAGATCATTAAGGGACGTAAAATATTGGAAAGCAACGGAATTTAGAAACATCTTATTATACAGTGGTCCAATTGTTCTGAAAAATGTCTTGAACGAAGAACTCTATACTAATTTTTTAGCTCTTCATGTGTCATTAACTATTATTTCAAGCCCAATTTTGATTAAAATTCCAGGAGAAATCGATTATGCTCAAGAACTCATTGAATATTTTATTACAACTTTTGAGATTATTTACGGAAAAGAATACATGTCATACAACTTACATAATTTACTTCATCTTTGTGAGGATGTTAAAAAATATGGGCCTGTTGATGAATTTAGCGCATTCAAATTCGAAAATTATATGACCACGGTAAAAAAGAAATTAAGGAAAACGAATAAACCTTTGCAACAATTAGCAAGAAGATATGCCGAAGAACAAGCTGTCGAAGAAATGAATATTAATCAACCAGATATAGTGCTAAAACATTCCCATTTTGAAGGTCCTTTGATTAATAATGGTTTGAAGATTAAGAAACAATATAAGACACTTTAAATAAATCATTTTCAATTGATTGTAGTAGCACAAAAAATAATTGCGTTTTGTTTAAAGATGACTCTGTAGCAACAATATATAATATTATTGAATCAGAAGAAGGTACTATTTATTTGATAGGAAAAAAACACATTTCTAAGGGACCTCTATTCACAACTCCTTGTAATTCAACTGATTACAATATTCAAAGAATTTTAAACAATAACGATAAATATTTTTATTCATGGCCTCTATTCGAATTAAAATCAAAAATGTGGATGATTCCTGAAACAAGACAAGTAGCAGTTGTGTTTCCAGTATTGCACACAACTTCTTGAAAGTCACAAGTAATTTAAATACTTATATTTTTATATTTATTATTATTGAAAATAATTTTAAATAATTTAATAATAATAATTAATAAATAATTATAATTTCACATAATAATTGAAAATATTATTCTGATGATTGTAATAATAAATAATTATTTTTCGCCCTGAATATATTTTCGTGAAATTAGTCTCCAATTTAGATTTTACAGTTCAAATAGTTTTAAAATTCAAAAAAATTTAATATTTTATTTCAGATACAAACATTAGGATTCATGAGTGGAAGGAATTCCAAAAGAGATTTCATTCACGCTAAATGCTTTTTAAAGAAAATTGTTTATTTTATATAATACGTTAGGAATGAAGCCATGACCAGCAAGTCGAACAGCTGAATCTTACAGAATCGATAATAATTAGCGACATAAAATTATAGTTAAAATTTCTAATTGTGAATTAGTAGATTTCCAATAATTATATAATTAACAGGGAGCTATTAAATTTATTTTAGTTGATTTTTAATAAAATTCAACTAATTTTCTAATTGTAAAATGGTACTAAATTACTAATTTTAAAATGGTACTAATTTAGAGTGGAAAATTTACTTTCAAATATTGAAACTCTATTTTTTCCAAGTATTTTTGCTTTAAAAATTTTTGTATTTTATTCTTTAATTTTTCTTGATAAAATACTTATAGGTATTTTATATAATTTTTGTATTTATTAAAAATATTGTTATAAATATTGTAGTGATATTGTTATAAAATTATTAAATTGATTACTTACCTGAATGTAATTGAGAGTTGTCGATAATAAATAAATATGTTCACAGTTAAAAAATTCTTCTTTCTTAAATTATATCTTTTAGAATGAAATAGATTTGTTTTCTTTACAAACATATTGTTCCATTTTATACCTATTATTAAATGCTTCAGTAAAAATAAAAATCACAGTTTCTTGGAAAAGGGATTTCAAAATACAATCTTCTTTGTAAAAATTCTGTAATATTTCAACAATGTATAAAAATAATATTTCAACAACATTTCACTGTAACATTCCTGAGACATTTAAGTAATTTGTTTTGTAAAGTTTTATTGAAATATTGCTGGAATGTTATTTTATAATATTCCATGAGTCGGACATAACAATATTCCTGAAATATTATTGCAATGTTACATGGGAATATTTCAAATGTTGCAAAAAAATGTTGCAACAATATTGCTGCAATATTATGTGTTATGTGGGTATTTACTGGCAGCGATAGTGATGGACATTTTCAATTGTTAAATAAAAGATTTGAAGAAGAAAATCTTTTGCACCATAATCATGAGACAGGCAGCCATTCTCATTCAAATATTACTGACCAAGTTATTAATTCTACAATAATGTTATCACAAAACGCCCCTTTAGACACAAGAACAACTGAAAAAGAATTCAAATTTGTTAATGATGGCGATGAAACGAAGAAACGGAGATATTATGATTACAAAGATAGGTGTTTTATTGTAAATGCACGGCTTTATTTTCAATCTGAAAAAGATGTTGGTAAATCAGAAGATGTAAATCAAGTTACCCTTAGGACTTCGAAATGCTTAAAAGTATGTGAAACTTCAGTGAAACGTATTTTTAAAGAATGGCAAAGTGGAGAACTGAATGATCCTAAAGAAAAGTGTGGTAGACCGAGGATTGAGTGCGACGAGTTTGATCAAGGAGTGATTAGAAGGATAGTACACAATTTCTATGCTGAAAGGCAATTTCCAACAATTTCAAATATTTATAAAAAATTAACAGACAATGTTGATGATTTATCAGCCTTCAGTGAGAAAACTTTGCAGCGTTGGTTAAAACAGATGAATTTCTTCTACATGAAAATTCAAAAAAAGCCAATATGGATGGAAAGCTCAAGAATAATTGCTCAAAGAACTGAATACTTAAGAAGTATAAAGAACTATAGACAAAATGGTTACAACATTTTTTATACTGATGAAACATGGTGTGTAAAAAATCACACAAAACAGTTTGGTTGGGTTGAAAAAATAGTAGAAAAGGATTTATCAAATTTTAATTACTATTCTGATCGAGTACAAGAAATAAATGGTTATTTGGGTGGTTTTGTCACCCCTTCTGGTGCTGGTCAAAGACTTATAATCTTACATATTGGTAGTAAGGATGGATTTCTTCCGGGTGGTCTGGATTGTTTTATTGCAAAAAAATAGTCAAGATTATCATAATGAGATGAATTCTCAACACTACGAAGAATGGTTCATCAGAATTCTGCAAACAATTCCCTCAAAATCTGTAATAGTCCTCGATCAAGCTACATATCACAAAATGCTTGATCCTGAGTATAGGAATCCTACGAGAGCTTGGAAAAAACAAGAAATTATAGATTAGGCAACAAAACGAAACGTGCCTTTACCAGCAAATGTAACATCATTCCAAGAATTATTGAAACCCGAAATATTGAAAATGTGCAAACCATATTTCAATCCAAAGACTTATCTCTTAGATACAGTACCCGGCTGAAAATCCTTGCTCAAGATCATACGTAAGAACATGTGCAAGAACGTTGATAAGATGATCTTGCACACGAACTTGTGTATGTTCAGCCCAAGGATTTGGAACAAAGAACATGTGCTAGAACATGCATAAGAGTCCATACCGAGAGTAAGTAAAACTATCTATTAGACTCATGAACTTGTACAAATCATATATAAGTTCATATGCAAGATCCTGTACAATTTAATTAAAAACTTTAAAGGCTGCGCAGTAGTTTTCTATGGCTTCTGCAGCTGCGCAGTTATTTTTAGATCGTACATGTGGAGAGTGACTAAAGACAATGTTAAAAATTTCCTTCTATTTTGCATAAATAAAAAACTTAATAAAAGATAATAATAAGATAATATTATTAATTATACATGAACTTATACATGATCTTGTACAAGTACACAAGAGAGAACTAGTGTTTTTCGTTATCTTGAGTTATATTTGCAAGAACATATACATATTCTTGTATATGTTCATTGCTCCAAATCCTTAGGCCGAACGTGTGTAAGTTCATACAAAGTACTTGTCAATGTTCTTGCATAAATTCTTTCTTGCTCACTGTGAATTTAACCCAATTGAACTTATTTGGGCATATGTGAAAAACTATGTCGCGAAACATAATACTACATTCAAACTGCAAGATGTTCAAAATTTGTGTCTACGCGCAATGGATGAGTCGACAAAAATTTATGGGAAAAATGCGTAGAACATGCTATAAAAGAAGAAGGAAAGTACCGCTTAAGTGAACCCCAAGTACAACAAAATATTGACTCAATGATTATTGAGATAAACAACGAAAGTGATGATTCTGATGAAGAATTTGATACAGACTCGAATTGAGAAAATTGATATTATTTCATCTGTTTATGAGAACAATAAGGTAAAATAATAAAATTTATATTAAGTAACATATTCTTAATTCAGATAGCACAATAATTTTAAGCAAATTTTCAATAAGTTTGCAATGCAAAACTCGAAAGTTTGCATCGCAAGTTTGCAGAAAATAGCAAAATGTCGTTCAGTGGCAAGTTTGTAAACATTAGCTTCATGCGCAGTAGTTTTCTAAGGTAGCTAAAGCTTTGCACTAATTTTTAATTCCCTTCCCGAGGGGAAAGGTTTGCATGCTCTAAAGTACATATGATTTATAAGAAAAAAAATTTTCAAACTTTTTTGGAAAGTTTGCCAAAAATATTATGCAAGTTTGTAATGCAAACTTTCCACCCAACGACATTTTGCTATTTGACACAAGTTTTCTGCAAACTTGCAGTGCAACTTTCAAATTTTGCATTGAAAACTTGCTGAAAACTTGATTAAAATTATTGTGCTATATCTGGGAACCTTTATAAAATAAACTATTCTGTATTGTGTTATAGGTTTTTGAGTTCCTTAATGACTGACCTCCACGTGATGCATCTTTGGAACACTATCCTCCAATATGTTTTTAAGTTGTCAAAAAATTTTATTATTTGATACTTAATGTGTTTTATGTAGTCAAATTTTCCTTAGAAAAAATATTAAATAATAAATGTATAAAATTTCGCTTGGAAATATAGCATAATTTATTATAAATTAATAAGTAGATAATATTATAAATTACAAATATTAATTAATAAGTAGTAGTTTAAAAAATTGTTCTGGTTAAAAATATTATTTCATAAAGTTTTGTCTCATTTATTGGGAGCCACTGAAGGATTTTCTTTGTAAAGCGTAGAGACAGCCCTGAGTGCAATCCCACATCTGGCGATTTTCTTCTGGGTTTTCTATTGAACACTCGAAACTCTTTTTTTTTCTACAACTTTTTGCTTTATGGCAGACACACGTCGATTCTCATTAAAGCCCAAAATATGTATATTCATTTTTTGAGAAGAATATTCAATTTATTTAGTTTTTCATTTATGTAATTTTATCCTACTATAAAATTGCACATTTTAAGCTAAAAAAACGTCATTTTATCTCTATTTGTTTAAAAGATAGCATTAAGCTGAATAAAGCTGTGTAAACAATAAATTAACTATTATTTTTTAATTTCAAAAACAAAAATTAATTGTACACACCTTAAAGAATATCTGTGAATTTTTTCTTCCTACTAGCAGTTTCGCTTGACTATAGACTTGAAAAAATGGGCTGAAAAACTGTGTTTTTTGGCACATTTTGTGTCATAGCTACTGCAAAAAATTTTTTGTGGTCTCGAAATATACTTTGTTTCATTCTTTAAGACTTCAAGCTTTCATAAATTTTTTACCAGAATGTTTAGAGATTTTTTTTAATGAGATATAAACAAAAAAAGCCAGAGTCTCTTTCTTTTGTCCCCGACTTTAGCTTGTGAAGACACACAAAATTAATTATTTATTAAAACTGTCATCTTTAGCTTTCATATATATTTATATTAAAAAAAGTTGAGATTTTTAAACAGTATTTTTTCGTTTGTGAAGATCCAATTTGTTGGTTTATCCATAAGAGACCATGTTAAATTTATAATTTTATAACTTTTAAACTGTGCAGTGAAAAATTCTGAAATTTTTGGTACTTATTTATTATATCAAAAGAAAAAAACCTCAAAATTTCAAGAATTTCTGAGAATTTCTAATATTTATCCAGTTCCTCCTTAATAAATTGTACCTTAAAAGAAAATAATTAGCAATTTTAATTTTAATCATTTTAAAAAATTATTTTAATTGAATATATCAAAATTGAAAAAATAAAAAATTTATCAAAAATTTTTGTTTTTTATTTGACATATTTATATTATGTACATTTCTCATAAATAAGAATCCCTTTATTTATGTTTTTTATATTTTCTTTCATTATTACAAAATATCGTTTAAATTACTTGACAAATTGAATTACTATAATTCCTTGTTTTTTGCGATACTGTAAATATTTTACGTAGGCAACCTTCACAACATTTCTAGACACTTTCTTTCACAAGTCACATTC